ATCCACATTTGGGTTATTGCTCAGAGAAACGGATCCACATTGCAGCAGGGAGGCCCCCGGGAAGACAGGAGAGCTGGGCAGGGGCTCGGCGAGGGGAGGCAGCTCCCTGCCCGCTAGCGGAAGGCACGAATTGGTACTGAGGGCAGAGAGGGGCTGTGCTCGGTGCAGTGTGGCCCCCAGCCAGAAGCACCTCTCTGTGCCTCCCCCCACCCACAAAGCTGCCCTTGGTTTGCATAAGGAGTTAAAATCCAATCCTGGGAGATTGGAAGCAAGGCAGCTTCCCAGGGCCCCACCTCTGCAGGCTGCAGAGACACGGCCATCTCGCCTGCCGGGCGTGAAAGGGGAGCAGGAGGGTGTCCTGCCTAAGGCACTGCGCGGCACTGCTGGGCTGGTGAGGCGCGGGAGCCTCTGCTGCTCTGCTCGCGAAAAGAGGAAACGTCTGAGACCATGAAGAGCTGCAGCAGCCGGAGGAGCAGTTCTGCTGGGGAGCCACAGGGCTCTCACAGGACGATCTTGAAGGAGCTACAAGAGACACAGACAGGTTCTGCAGCTCCTCGCCGGGTGACGCGCAGCAGCTTGCAAGTGCCCAGTGCTACGGGGATGCAGCGTTACCCTGTGCAGGAGAGGCTCCCTGCAGAGCTAGCGTGGGATGCCGTTCCCTCTGCTGTTATGAGAGACCTCGTACAGGGCGGCCTCACCTTACTGCCACCGAGAGCTCTGCCCTGACACCAGCACAGCGATCACGGTGGGCCAACCCCCCAGACAGGTCCCCCGGGACAAGCCGTGCTGCTGGAGACCACCGTACCTGGCAAAGTCCGGGGAGCGGGAGACAACGAGCTGGAACTCGGAGAGGTTGATGGTGCCGTCCTTGTCGATGTCAGACTCCTCCAGGATCTGAGGGGAGAGAAAGGCGAGCGGTGAGCTCTGCGGGGCCAGGACCATGCAGCGGCCAGTGCCCAGCCGGACAGTCCTCACGTTTTGGATGAGCTGCTCCATCTCCGCGTTGCTCAACTGGGAATCTTCGCCTTGCCCCGTCAGACAGTTCACCAGTTTCTCAAGGTCCTTTCTGTCCAGAATCCCATCATCATCAAAGTCTTTGGGGAGAGGAAAGTTACATTTCAGCAGGGCTGCCGTGACCCCAGAGTCACGAGCAGCCATGCTTGGCAAGGAGAGGGCCTGGGTGACCCGAGGACGCAGCAGGCTCCATGCTGCACCTCTCAGTGCACGTCATCGCGTCAAACCAGCAGTTCCCACAGAGTTCCTAAAGCCGCCATCCCCGTGGGCGCTCCGAGGGCACTGCCAGCCCTTGCGAACAAGGACTTGTCTCTGCCCACGCCCCCCCCGTGAGGTGCAGGGACCCCAGGACGTGGCATCCGCCCGCAGCGTTACCAAAGATGCGGAAGGCGTAGTGGGATTTGACTTCCAAGATCGCCGAGTCGCTGAAGACGCTCAGCATATCGAGGAAGTCTTCAAAGGACATGCTGTCGTCCCCATTGTCCGAGGTGGAGAACACATGGCAGATCCGGTGCTGGAAGGGGTTTGCCTGCCGACACAGGAAGGGCTCAGGGCAGGGCTGGGCAGCGCCGGGCCGGCTCCCGTGTGGCAGACACGGGCCGCAGGCCGGTGCCAACCCCCGGCACAAGCGGGTAGCCCACTCTGCTGCCAGTCTGTCACACACGGCACGACCATCCCTGTCCTGTGCCTCCCTGGGATAGCAGCCCTCGCGCAGGAGGGATCTCTGGGATCCTCCACGGCAGGCGGGGATGAGGAAGCTGTTTGTTGGCACAGCTGACGTGCAGTAAGTGCACAGCTTCCCCAGGTGACTGTTGGAGCTGCACGTCAAGGGTGGAGCACCGGGAGGGCAGCGCTGGGTAACAGGGCCCTGCCCAAACACGCCCCGACCCAGGGAGCAGCAGCGAGTCCCGCTGCCTGCCAGGCACCGTACCCGCAGCTCAGGCAACTTCAGGATCTGGCTCTTGGGAACCCGCACGGAGCAGGCATTCTCCCTCTCCTCCTTTGGCAGCAGTTCACTGAACCTCTTGTAGGCACTTGAAGAGGCAAGAACAAGAGACGCTCTGTGGCGTGAGCGGCACGGGAGGCAGCCCTCTGGGCACCGGCAGCGCAGGCGGCAATTCCCAGCGCTGCACAAGGGCGGCCGGCCCGTTTCCCACAGCT